TTTTTTCTTACTGAAATACATTCGTATGATTCCTGGACTAGTCGATAGAAGAAAGCGGATTAAGAATTTGCCTCGAAATCAAGTCGATTAAAGTTACAAATTTATTTATTTTTAACTAGTGTGCCTTTAAGTTCATGATTAATTCATTCCTGTTCATGGTAATTTTTTCTTGCCTGAACAATACAATTACCGACGGTAACTGATCAACTTCATGCGTCCCTTCACCGCATTACAGAATGCTGGTTCTACGTTGGTTCTGGTCTAGGTCTTGAATATCGAGGTCCACTTCAATACCTCAATGGCTTTTGGATGACGATTATGCGTTTGTCTGCTATTTCTAAGTATTCATCTATCTGGAGATTTGCATAAAAATAATTTTAGTCATCGTGAAAGTGATGTTCAAATAACTCGCCCATCATTGTAGATCGCGTCAAGTTGCAGATGCATATATATGAAATCGTTGACTGAAATTCAGCGTGAATGCGATAACTGAAGTGAGAACCTTTAATTTAAATGTCAGTTAGCTGTTGACGGTGATCAACTGAGTGATTTTTTTTAGATTTTTCTTTCTTCGCTTATTGATCATTCAGTATGATTTCAAATGTCGGATAATGAACCAAATTATAAACTATATTGATGCGTATGGTTTTAATTGTGATTTGTTGACCAAAATAATCAAAGCATGTGTAATAATTTAAGTTTGTCTTACCTCGCCTGAGAGCTATAGGACTCAAGCCAGTCTATATATTATACGCTTGCACACGCTACATCCATTCCCGAAGCGGACCGCTTGAAGCCAGGAATTTATAGACAGCCAGAATTGGATGGCCCAGCGGTCCGTGAAGCGTTCGTCCCAGAAGCACATTTTAGATTACCAGGCAACAGACGGAGGTGCATTAGAGGCTTTGTTAGATTCCTGACCGCCTTTGTGCCGTATCTGTTCAATTATTGGGAGCCCATTCTAGCTTGGGCGGAATCAAACCATTTTAGCTGAGAATAAATTTCGACACATATTTCGAAAGAGCAGCTTGTAATTACGTTCTTGACATGCATGAGAACCGAACATTTTGATGAATGGTAGAGTTACAGCACCCGTCAAATTCCATGTTTATTGTATGCGCTGCGCAAGAGGATGAAAGAAATATTCTACTGAGACCGATTGATCATCTATGAAACCTTCGATTTATTTATATAAATAATGTTTTGTTCTATAGCAATCTCACTGAAACGTTTAGTAATACGAAATTTTGGCTTGTTGATGAGACGTTTCATTATGTTTCTTAGGCATCGATACTAAATAATTATGGAACTCTGGCTTGCTACAATTGTAACATTTTCCCATTTCTTGAGAATTATCTTCCGCATTCTTCTCAAAGTTAAATTTCGGCTCTAATTTCAGGCAATAATAATCATATCCCATTCTTTAATCAAACTTTGTTTCTTCTTAGATCCACCGTTTCTTCTTAGATATTTATCGCTGGTGCGTATTGTGCCGAATATGTATAGCAACTACCGTCACTCTGTATAATTTTCAATTCTTCTAAGAAACGTGACATGCGATGCCAGTCTTCGGTCAATGAGATGGTATCACTGAGACGCAGGCACTACAAAAGTTGGAGACAAGAACGAACGCAATAAATTTACTAGTTTTTCTCCCACTCGATCATGATAGAAATCTTTCTTCATACTAGGAAAAGCGAATTATCACCGAACAGGGAATCTTTCAGCTATTTTGCTCAACCTGAACAGCGAGATCTTGATCGTCTGGTGATCAAGATCAACGAGAGAACTTTACTTTTTTTCGATGAAGGGATGATCATTTTGTAGAATTTCTGCGGCGAAATAGTTTGTAATTTTGATATTACTTTCAGCTAAAATCTTTTTTCAATTGTTTCAAGTGAACAAATGAGTAATCAAGTCAAATAATATCAACTCTGGTACACGCATAAAAATAAAAACTTCTTTGATCAATTGCTCGTCGTAATGTTTCAAATTCAATTGTGACAGAGAAGTTATTGGTTATTTTGTATATTATAATCAATTTATAATGTCAACATTATGAAATTATGACGTCAATGACATTATTGTACCCATTTCTCCTATTTCAACTAATGTTATATCTTCAGATACCACTATCCACAACGATGAAATCGACCAGAAAAAATTTGATGCCTTTAAAGGGCTAAGAAAATGATGAGCATTTCATTATAACATTTTTTAATGCATTTTTAATTTGTGTTTAAGCGAAAAAACATCATAGTATATGTATATACATCGATCAATTATAACTTATATGTGAAAAATCAAAAATATACAACACAGAATAACGTATAGGACAAAGCCCTAAATATAATGGTTAGATTTATAGATACAAGTATACAAAGAGCGTAACTGTCGGCTATTTCGACGATTGTTAAAAGGGTAAATTAATTTTACAACTATATACGCGTTTACATTCCGTGAAAAATGAAGCACAAATCTGGCGTAATTAATGTGAAATATATAGTGTAGCTCCAAGATTTATTTAAACTCAATTTATCACATTTCAAAAATTAGCACCATTTTCCAATTCTAAACGCGCATAATTGAGGGCCTGCGCAGTGCAATATACGATATACAGTTAAATATTTTGACGAAATATTGATCTTATCTCTGAAAATATTACTGAGAAAATATCCACAATGAAATGCGACACTGACGGTTAAGAGTGAATAATGTGAATGCCATTATTTAATTTAGAATAGTTATTAATTTAGAAAAAACTATAATGGTTAAGTCAGGTTAACAAAACGTTAATAGTAACACCTGAAAGTTTATAGAACATATATGACGTAAAATATGAATTAATTTGTTGTGAACATTTTATACCCCCTCGAAATGAGCTGGCCAACACGAATTTGGTGATCAGGAAAACATCATAAATAACCATTTCGTCGAACATAAACTTCAAAAGATGCTATATGATACACTTTATGTGGTAGATTAATCAAACGCTTCATCTATATATAACATATATACTCGTATATCGAAACATTGCATGTAGAGCGATATAAAAATCAGAAATGTTTATCTTGGAAAAAAAAGTATTTAAATTGCTTGGGAATTCAGCAGGAAACGTTTTATTTTATTGCTATATCTAGGAACTTCTCTTTCTAAATGAATAAGTATCAAGGTAAATTTTGAGAACCTTGAGCAAATTTTTAATATAATTAATACGACATAAAATAGAACAAAGCTCATCTCACACTACGGCATGTGTTGGAAACTCTACAATAGTTGATCGATACTAATATAAATGATCAGTGTTTTACCAATACACTCCAAGTAGAAAATTAATTGAAATCGTACATTTTCAATTTAAATTCGGAAGAAAGTATCAATAAACGATGCTTGCCAGGGGCGAATCAGTTACCATTTTGAGAACCGGACAGAAATCTGGAACGTGGTGAGCACTCTCAATGAAACGCAACACGAAAATATTTCATAGAAATAGAAACGAGTTTTCTCATAAACTATATTGGAGGTATGATTTGCAATAGCATTTTAAATTATTTACCATTTTATCGCTCAAACGAAACAAAACTTTCATTGTTTCTATCATGCGGCCAACAATTGTACTGAAATTATTTAACTTGTGTGGTTTGCCTGATGAATTATCAACTACTTCAAATACTCAGCGATGTTGCGGAATTTCGAGATACTTTCAAAAAAAAATACAGCAATATCTTTTTATAAGATGCATTGTATTTAGAGGACCTTAAGATGTAAAGTATTGCAGCAGCCACAGCTCTGTACAAACACACGCACTTGTGCCACTCTCGTATAAATAAATAGTTCATAAGTGCGGGTTAAATCAATCATCGAAGATTTATTGTACAGCATATACATTCATTCTATTATTATGTATGAGTTAATCAAGCAGTGAACAGATTTGAAATATAACTATAAGATGAAGAATGTTTGCAAGTAAAATCCTACTATAATAGGTGTATAGAAAAGAGTTTTTTCAATTGATTACTGTGAATCCCAACTCATTTTATATAATAAATTTTTAAAACCGTCCAAACTCGCGTTTTAGTGCATTTTCACGGTAGTTCTGTACCGTTTTCAGTCAGTGCCGATCAAAATTTGTACTCAATATTATAAATCATACTACTATTAATTTTTTACTAATTTTGAGAATATCTCTGAACGACTGGAAGCAGAAAAGCAAAATTTCAAACGGAAGCAAATATTTTATACTAAACTGTCCATCTTGCAGTATAATTCTAAGATTATTAGATCAACCGTTATTCTATAAGACATGAGGCATAGATTAATTTACAAGAAAAACTAAAAAATTTTACCCAAACTGGCGAACGGCTGTATGCGCACATCAATAAATGAAATGTGTGTCTCATTTTCCCTAGACTTTTCAGAATGCGTCTCAACCCCGCCCATTCTTCAACATGCTCACCAAATACTACAAAATAAGCTATAAGATGAAATTCACGTGAGCATCTGAACATTTATTTACCTTGTAAATGTAGACTTTTGCGTGACATTCATCCGAGAAGACACATTTCTGTGACACTCAATGACAGTTGAATTATTTTCAGATTCACATTTTTACTTTCATTTGTCATTATACCTCATCGAGGGACGAATCAATGGCAACGATGAAATTAGGAAACCAGTAAGCATATTTAGAAGTAAGCGGCCGTTTTTAGTAGCTTACAGCTTAGTTTGAGTTCTTGCAGCCAGCTTTACCACAGGCGTTCCATCCTTTGCAGTAGAACTAAAACCTGAAGCAGCCATCGCGAAAAAAAAATCAGCAATATTGGCTGAGAAATTACACGAGGCAGTGCAAGTGTCTTGACTTGTCTGCGGTAGCGTCGTTGTTATCACACCAAATCACGATTTCCACTGCCTCTTATTTAGAAATAAGGCTGTCCTGTGAACTTATAACTTATAATTTCTCACAAATAAGGTTCATTTTTCAGAATAAAGAATGAAACTAATCATTTTCAATTAATTTTAAAGAATGAATTAATTAATTTTTCAAAACAAATCTGTCACGATCAAAAACAAAGTATCATTACATGACATAAAATCGATATGAAATAGAATGCAAACTAGAATTTATATCAACCACAATTTTTCATTTTATGGGAGTTATCGCAAAAAAATGGACCTTCTCACTGATTGCATTGAATATAGCCTCACTGAGTGATGTAATATAATCAAACAAGATTCCTTGACTTCTTTCATATTCATTAAAACAAGTCATAAAAGTTATAACGCATGGGCCCATTTTCCAGGGCTCCAACTTGAGTCGTTGCGAGGTGATTAGAACGTTTGAAAATTTCATTGATGCATTTTCAATGAGGAAATTTGTTTCATATAACGGTGAATTTCGTAGAGTTAAGAGAAAACACGAATAAAACTACAGGTTTCGTGTATTCAAACATTAGTTCAAGCAGTAATTCAAACAATCATTTGAATTTGAACCAAAACTTGCACAAGAGTTTTCATTTCCAATATGATTTAGGAATACAAATGTTTTGATTTGCTGTGCTCGAAAGCGTTTGAACTTACAAATATTCACATATTAAACTGCATGGATCACTCTTTTCTAGCACGCTATGGACAAGAAATATGCGTTAATTTCATGACAAGTTCCATGAAGTTTCTACATTTCTTAAAGAAAGGAACGACACACAAAGGTTACAGCAATATTATTAGAAGAGTATTAGAGCGCTGCTTAGCAGCAAAACCTTGTGCAGATCTATCTAGTATTGCCTAAATACGATATTATATCTGTACATAAATAGCGTCGTGTGAGTGCGGCCAGGATTGGCTGCACTAATGCTGTTGTGGTCACAAGGAGTGGTAATCATGTAGCAGATCATGATGGTGTGACGCCATCGCTGCAGCAGCGGTAACTGCAGCTGCTGGATCGTTGACACCAACAGAAATACTTCCTCCACAGCTGCCTACGACTGTTGAATTTCTGGTGGCAACAGCTGCAGCTAGGCTGAGTTGTGCCTGGTAAGCGGCAGCAGCAGCGATGGCAGAGGCCGGACTGCTCACAGGCACAGAGCTCATGGCGGGGTGGCCGCCGCCCGTCACTTTGGATAGATCCCCGTAGAGCTCAGCGTGCTGGCTCAGCGCGTCCTGGCGACCACACCAAACATCTTGCTGCAGTCAGGGAATAAGAAAATACAAGGCGTGTTACAAGGCGGAGTATGGCATTTGGTAGTGTGAACTAAGTTTGGTGCGGCGATAATACAAAATTCAGTGCTGCGAATAACAAATAAAAAATCAAATCCACGAAGAAAATACAAGACGTGTTTCAAGGCGGAGCATGGCATTTGGTAGTGAGAGCTAAGTTTGGTGCGGCGATAATACAAAATTCAGTGCTGCATATATAAAATATTATCTCATAGAATGGTAAAAGTTTGTGCGTTCGTTTACTGCCCGGCACAACAATTACATTGGGTGAATATTCATGAAACATATTGTGCCAGCAAATTAATAAATCTGTGATTTTTTGTGACGGAATCATGAGACATTTTATAACTTTTAATCAGGCAAGTGTAAATTTATAAGCAGATTGAATATTGCAAGTTTTCGTGAAATTTCTAAAGGGTTTTCGAAGCAGATTCCGTGCTAAATGTTGGTTAGTTAATTACAGAACTTTAGATTAAAACTATTAAATAAATATGGCATGATGAGATTTAAAAAAGTCATTCTCGAGTTGTATTTATTATGTCTACCAGGCTAACCGGCTTGACATGTGATAGTTTTTTCGCCTGGGTAATGAAGCAGATATTTCATTATTTTGAAAAGAAAGACCATGAAGAGATTTCCATGTTAGCTTTCGAATCTCTTTAGATCTTTTAATCTAATTGAAGTTGGAAAAATATGGCTGACAACAGTTTGTAATATTATGGACTTTTCTTTTTATTATAAAAAGGTGTCAGAAAAATTTTTGACTCTTAAAAAGCAAAATTAAATCAATTGAAAAATCTCCTCCATGTTTTTTTTGCAGTTAATAAACCTATAGATAACTGAATATATTCGTAAATAAATATTGGATTTGATCAGAAAGCCTCATGGTCAAGATTATTAGGCAGAAAAAAAACGTATAACCTGCGCACGCGATTGCAACGCCAGCTAAGTAGTGATCCACGAACTGACACGGAAGGTTATTCAAAACCGTTTATTTCAGAAGTATGTAGAATATTAAGTGATTATAATAATCAAGATGTCATAAACACGTGCTTCTTCTAGTTTTCAATGGAATAAAAAATTATTAATTTTATAGTTTTAAGTTTATTTGATTAAGTAGCATTGACACTATCTAATAAGAGAGTAAATTATTGTATATCTTTAAGTTCCAAAGAATTACAAAGCCTAACATAGCCTAACTTGACCCAAATTAACTTAAATTTAACGTTATTTAACCAAACCTAGTCAAACCTAACCTAAAATAATCTAATCCACAAAGTTGTTTTACAAAGAAATTTGTAAGATTTTTTACAAACCCTGAGGTTAGGCAAGGACAAAAGAAATTTATTAAAAATTTTTTACTCACCCGAAGGCTCTTAAGGGAAGAGATTAACTGCTCATCCAAAAGCAAGTCTTACGTCACCCAAGAAGCATGGAAGTTCAAAGAAAATTTAATTGCAATAAGAGCTCATAATAAATATTGAACTCACCCAAGGGTTGGGCTGTGGTGTGTGGAGGCCCTGGGCCTGCGTGTGGGGGATGGGGGAGTCGAGGCCGGACAGGGAAGGCTTCATGTCGTCCTGGGACTCCGAGCCGCTGTCCAGGTGAGTGGAGGAGGAAGGCGGTGCACTGCCTGACGGCGGCGTCTTGCCGTCGCTGCAAACAAAACCAAGAAATATGAACAAACTCCCAGCCACATATCGGCCGTCGCTGCAAACAAAACCAAAAAATATGAACAAACTACAAGCCACATACCGGCCGTCGCTGCAAACAAAATCAAGAAATATGAACAAACTCCCAGCACATACCGGCCGTCGCTGCAAACAAAACCAAGAAATATGAACAAACTTCCAGCCACATATCGGCCGTCGCTGCAAACACAACCAAGAAATATGAACAAACTCCAAGCACATACCGGCCGTCGCTGTAAACACAACCAAGAAATATGAACAAACTCCCAGCCACATATCGGCCGTCGCTGCAAACATAAGCAGGGAATATGAAGACATTTGCAAATTTGATGGCATTTCATTTTTTCTTTTATACACTAATAATTACTAATTTATTACTTATTAATTACCATGGCAACATTCTTCGATAAATCAGAAATGTTCTTTTATTTCTGAAAGTTTTTTGATATTCATGGTTCGAAAGATGAAACAAGTTAGAAGAAACAATCTGGTGAACTGTGTTCCTTCTCCTCTCGTCGACGTTGGGTCTCTAAATTATAGGGCTGCTTGTTTAAGTAGCTTAGTAAACAGTCTCAACGATGGAGAGAAGCCACTGGCCGCAGGTGCAGTCTACTTACTTCTGAAACTCGGTCGTATTCTGGTAGGATGGTTGCGGCGATTGATTTTATATTAGTACCCGTCAAACTAATTCAAGTTTAGATAAAAGTTGGAAAAACTGTACGATTATTTTAAATAAATTTTCCTTGTAGCTCCACTGAGGATCGGCAGTCAATGATTCTTTATAAATAGAAGTTATCACAAGTCCTAAAATAAAATTTCTATAGTGGGATATCCAATATTGATATTTTCAAAACGTTAATTTAAATAATAAAGACAGAAAACTTGCGAAATAACTCTACAGCAAGAGAAAATGTTTGTACCTTAATAGATGTCGAGCTTCTTTCCTTGTGAGAGAGCCTGAGATTACATGTGTGTAAATTAAATAAATTGATTTATTTGAAGAGAACTGAAAACATCGATTAATCAACGTTGAGAAATCTGAGAACATTCATAAGTTAAGCTAACCAATGACCAATAAAAGGTCACTAAATTAATAAAGTTCCTAATAAATTGATCATGCGGAGATTGTGTACTGATAATAAATTAATAATTAACTGATCAGAATCCCCTCCTTATAATCGGAGTAGAGCGGGAACATTAAATGATATCCACTGAGTTCAAAGCGAAAGCTGACGCGATGTTTGGCAATCATCGATTGATCCTCGAGCGCCGAGTCTGTGAGCGCCTCCCGCCCCTACGCGAACAAACAAACCTCGTGACGGCAACGCAGCTGATTGATAACGGCCGAGCAGTGCGACCGTCAAGTAACTTACTTCACAATCCCCGTTATCTTTAACATTTGAATAATGGTTAAACAATTCTAATTATTAGTTTCAGTTTGTGTACTTCAATGCGAGAAGGATAATCTTTAGATCAGCTGACTGTGTAATGTAGGTGAAAGAGTGGGATTGTTTCAATTTTTGGGCTGTGACTTGACATTAATCACAATCTATAATAATATTGATGAATGAGTGTTTTTCAGGCATGTGCAATGGAAAAATTTCCAGGAATTTGATTTATCCTAAAAATTCTAATCGGTTTTACTAATTTGACCGAGCGAGTTTTGGGTACAATATAATAATTCAAGATTAAATATTCAGAATTCATCATTTAACAACAATTTCAATTGCTCTCATTCATTTTTAAGTCATGCATCATTTAGATATTTTTCTGCGTCATTTAGATATTAATTTTTTTCAAAAACACCGAAATTCACCTGAGAAGGCTGCGAAACAATTCATGAATTGATTTGGAGGTCTAGATAGAGTAAGCTGCTGGAACAGTTGAAATCACATCCCAGAAGATTCATACTTTTACTAAAGCATATAAACTAAAGGATAAGTAGCATTAATTTATGTATAAATTATTTTCCTTGCTTTAATAATTCATTTTTTTCCAAGCCCCGTTTTTGCCTAATTTTCATCCAATATTTCCAACACTGATGCAAGGTTCACTATAGTAACGAAACTAACATTCATTCCATGCAGCCAAATGAAGCAAAAACTTGAAAATAAAAATGATTTGTTATACAATAAAAGTATTAACTCTCCAACTACAAGGCGATACCACAATTAGCACTCAACGCTGCGTGTTCCCTGTTGAATATAGGAACAAAGAATTTACGTTGCCAACCTAAGGCTTTAATGTTGGTTTTCCAGTTGAACTGCGACAGCCGCGACCGACGTTAAACTGGACCACGCGGAGGCGACTGCGATGTTTGCGCGGCCGGAGAAGTGCGGCGGCCGCTGGACTGCCTCGTCCCTCACTGTAAACACCATTTACCAACTCGAGGGCCCTCGACTCCGCGCCATTACGTGTGTACGCGCCTGACACCGGCACTGCGGCCTGCGTTCTGAACGCAACTTCCATACCGGTGTTGGGAATATCTGGGGTCCTCTTAAGAGTTCGGTATGATTTGAAATCCCGCTACATGGCGACCACTGGAAATGTGGCCTGATCATTTGACCGACGATTTTACCGCAGTTTCTTATTATGCGCTGTAGCGCCTTTTATAACTATATAATTACCCATTTTCGTGTAAAAATAGCTTGCCTCGTAGATTTCCGTCAAATCTTGTCCTTATTACAATTAAAATATTAACATCAGAAGGCTATTATGAGTTGGTAATGAAGCTATTTTAGCTTTTATTCTGAAACTATACCTATATATGTATCTGTAGATCTACTTCATCAAAATCTTTCCGAATGTTAACTTGCATTTTTTGCCTGTCAATAATTCAAAAACTGGTTCTCCACAGCTTGAGTATGTTTTTCCTGCCCATTCGGCCCTATACAGTTTACGCGTACAATGCACAATGCGCATCAGCGTATACGACCTCGCATCACATCTACATCCGATTGGCCGAACACCGTGGCAGGAGATATCGTACTAGGAGTCTACTTGCGCGCACACCTCATTCTGTTGTGCGTTTTCAAGCCGACCAATCGATGTTCCTGTGTCCGCACTGCATATTTGTAGATAACATCCTGGCCTGATCAACGCTTTTAGTTTTAATCCACTCGAAATGGTCAATAGCATTTTATACGTTACTTCTACTGATAAATTTTATAGGTTTGAAGCTCGTCCGCATCAATTTATTCGTTCGATTTATCATGCAGGCCCATACTTTTCATCTTTTAACCTTATTATAGGATTGGTTTCAGAAACTTGTTGTATGAAAATACGGTGGATTACTTTGAGTATTATTTAGTTTAGAGAACTTGATCAAAACAACTGCAGTTTAGCTATCAGAACTCCAAACTTGTTGCTTACATTCCAGCTTTACAATAACTATCCGAACAACATTGAGCGATATCCTGTGACGCATCAGAGTTATGTTCCCAATTTATTTTTTGATGGATTTTTGAGCAGGAACTAAAGTTCAGAATACGAATAAAAATGGAAATTATTAAAAGCTTCCTCTCCGATCCTCATCGTTTCTCTTAAATTTATTTTTGGTGGTAAAAATGCATTGGTATTTAAGTGCGTTTCTATAAAATGCATTGTCGATTTTATCTACAGATAACCTCACTTTATTTCGGCTTTATTTTGCTTTTATAACTAAATCAGTCTTATATGAATGATTTATTTGGCTTCCATAACAAAATCAGTCTTTACAGTAGGTATATAAATAAGCATTAACACAAACTTGCTGAGGGATTCAGAATGTGCATTCTTTGCTCCCCTGCCGCCCGCGCTCAAATCTTCAATGTTTACGAGGCTCTGAAGCGCCGAGCCGCGCTGATAAGATACGAGGTACCGGAAGAGGATCAACGAGTGAGGCGAAAACAGCAAGCGGTCCCTGTGGGAAGCAGGGGTACCACCTTGTCTGTCTATCTGCCTTTATTGCCACCCTAGGGAATAGGGAAACTTAATTGTCAGAACCTATGGCAAGCTGTTAATTATAAAACGTAATTATTATTTTGTTAAAAGATCAAAAATATCATGTTTTCTAGGTCATTAAAAACTTGTTTATTGTAGTAACATTCCTGGCTCAATTCTTTTCAGACAGCGTATCCGAATACCGACAATGTATTTCTTGGGAAAGTTTGCTATCAATAAGCAAACTTCTCGGATATTAAGACTTTATGAACGAGTCGAAATTTCAACTTCATCTTCAAATTTAAGAGAAACACAGTGGATTTAGCCTTGCTAAATGGATGACACAAATTGCATGGTCACGAGGTAAGAATATTTTGTTCATCTCAGTTTCGAACCGTGGATGAAACCTTACTCGTAACGACGTGATTGTTTGAAAGAAAGAATAACATTAAAAAAATACTGGAAAATATCTCGATGTGTACTAAAAATAAAAACATGAATGATTGATTTCCATGCAAAAATGTGGGGATAATTGGTTTAAATAAGATCAAAATGAAGCCCGAACAGCGGTAAACGAGCAAGAACAATAACTGCAAAAGAAAAACACTTGGAGCACCAGCAACAGAACAAGAGCAGCAAGAAGAGCAACTAGAGCGCAGAGAGGCGGGTCGGTGTCAGGTTTCGTTTGCTCGACGACGGAACAAAGGAAGCCAAGCTTCGCTTCTCATTAGCTTTGTGCAGGAGCTTTTATACGCTCCTAGACCGACGAGAGTGAAGCACGAACTATCATGCGCAAACTCTCACAACGAACGCTCATACGCCAGACCGACGAGAGTGAAGCACGAACTATCATGCGCAACCTCTCACAACGAACGCTCATGCGCTAGACTGACGAGAGTGAAGCACGAACTATCATACGCAACCTCTCACAACGAACGATCATACGCTAGGCCGACGAGAGTGAAGCACGAACTATCATGCGCAACCTCTCACTGCGAACGCTCATACGCTAGACCGACGAGAGTGAAGCACGAACTATCATGC